TTAATTTATAAAACATAAAAATATGATTGGACAAGCAATACGGTTAATATTATCTTATATTTTTTTCCTGTGTAAAAAAAAAAAATTACATCAACAAAATTGAATACGATGAATATTATTACATTAATGCATCAAACCGATAACATCTGTTTAAACATCATGCTGTTGCGATTATTCATTATGAAATTAAAAGCCTATACATATATGAGCTTATAAATTTTTAGCTTGGATTCGTTGTTTGACCATCATATTAAAATATTAAATCGTAGAAGTAGGCGAAAAAGATTATGTCAGGAAATAAAGTTAATAGATTTATAATTGTTGTTATTTTTGTAAGAATTATATTAGAACATAGTGGTGATCCATAGGAGTTTAGAGAATATAGTTTCTACCGAAACAAACAATAAGTGATATTTTGTATGAATGCAAAAGCAACATTTGAAATAACACGTATAGAACTTTTTAGCGTTTTTCTTTCATCGCGAATGAAAACATAAAAGTACTATCTTATTCCATTTATTATATATTATATAACCAATATTACCATTGTGAATAAAGAAACCATGTAATTTTTTCACATGGTGGAATGAAACTCATGATGTTAATTAAGACCAATTTTTTTTCTAAGAAATAAAAATTAATTAATTTTTTACTCGTCTGACTGGGACATAAATTCTACAACTAAACTCTAGTCAAGCAAAAAATTAACTAACCTAACTTATCGCTGAATAATTTGTTTATTGTTAATGTTTTATTGTTCACACATAAATAAGTTTAAATTATACAAAGGGCTCTAAAGATGGAATAGTTTTACCTTACATCAAACTAGTTCGTTATCAACACAAATTAATAGTTATTGAAGAAAACTATATTTTTATCGATATCAAATAATACTTTAGTAAATAGTAAGTAATTTTAATACATATAATTTTAGATTGCAATTACAATTTATATCTATGTATGTATACTTTGAAGTTTGAACTATTTTGTCTTATTTGTTTTAAGTGTCCTATAAAGCACCAATGAATAATAATAAATAATACTTCCAAAAGATATTTCAGTATTTTTTAATAATGGGAGAACGATTTTTGAAAAAAAAATTAAAAATCATCAAAAGTTATCCAACATGTGATACACGTGTATATCCTATATGAACGTAATTGTATTAAAAAACAGATTCAATATTAAACAAGAAAAATGATCGAAACTCATACACTTAAATAGATCGTTTAACTTTAGTTAATAGAAGAACATTTATTTCATACTTATTTTTTATTCGTATAGTTACTCATTTCAATAATTAATATTTATCAAATATAATATATAATATCTATAAAAAAAAAAAAAAAACTGAAACAGTGGACAATATAAATAATAAGCGATAACAACCAAATCACATAAATGATACTGACATAATCATAAATATTTTATATTAAATGTTGAACCGGGCACTTTTAATTTCATATCGCTTGAAGTGCCGCAGTATCACGAAAATTTCATGGCCTTGAATACATAATTGTAATTTTTTTTTTTTTGAACAAACATTACTTTTTTACCGTACAGATAATTTTGATAAACGTCCTCGTCCAATCGGATTTAATATAATTATGTTACGAATGGCTACTAAAGTATACCATGTGTATTATCAACTTTTTTTTTGGAATGGATTTTAAACGAAAATCATCTACAGTCTACTTTTACACCACAAACTTACGAAAATTATCGACAGATATCGATTGCATACAGGTGTATATGGCTTCGGGAAAAGAATTTGCACAAAAAGTTCAATGTTTTTAGTAATCACTACACGTAATTACGTAATAACCACGTGCATGTTTTTGTTTTATCGACGCTGTGTTAATCACATTGTACGAGTTGAATTTATATAACGCTTTATACATACATTGGTTTTAATTGATAAATTTACATAAATTATAATTTCTACGATCGCGTTCATAAGCTATACCAAATAGGAAATCGATATTAATTTATGAAAACCAATATCAATATAACATTATACGGGATACGTAAATAATACAAATCAAAACAAGTAAGCTCGGTATGCCTTGGTGAGCACATGTCGATCGATCAATTTCCCGGTCTCTATAACGTTGCAGCATTAAATGTTGATTAATCCGAAGTCATTTGTTATCGTCAAGAGCTATAACTACTAAGTAATCGTACGTTTAGTGTTAGCTAACGAAATTCAATACATTCGAATCGACACTATACCAAGACGACGGTGAGGAACACGAAAGCAACACGTGATCCGGTGTAACGAAACAATAGCGCAATATTGAATTAATGCGATGTCAATAGAACTGTGCACAATACACGTCAAAGACGATCATGTCTCGAGAAGTTTAGGGGAAAATCAATGTTATTATCAGGGCTAGGATTCGTATGCAACAGCATGTTTTTTTTTGCGACTTCTGATTATTGATTTTGTCAATAATGTCCACGAATCATCTAATGATGAGATAAATGGTGATGTTTTTATTTTGCATGTTTTTGCATATTTTGGATAAAATGCTTATTATTGTATATATCAAAGAAAATTAATATTATTGCATATTTCGATTATAATAATGAAAAAAAAATAAATGTTTTATAGTATATTTCGTAATTAATATTTCGTATTTAATTCTAGCCCTACTGACTAAAGTATAAAACTTGATTTTATTATCAAACATACATTCTATTTTAAATTATTTTATTTAATTTCTCAATTATATTATATTACGACAAACAGCCAACCACTGATGTACTTCAATAATTTTTTTTTTGTGTGTATCTTATAAAAATTTAAATGCATATTTTTGCATATTTTGGTAAATAAAATGCATATTTTACAATTTTTTATTGCATACAAATCCTAGTCCTGGTTATTATTATCGAATCAACGTGTACGATCAGATAAAATAGTGTATAAGAGGAATCCGTCGACCGGGCGGATCCCATTACACGGGGACGTTACCTTCGATATTTCCCATGTTTCTGCGAAAACAACGCAAATAGTGACAATAACGCGTATGAAACGATATCGCGGAATACGCTATCGCAGCAGCGAAGTGCGGGGCAATTAGACGTGTTTATTTGTGCGGTGAAATGGCTTCGACGAAAAATCGATACCCATCGCAGTGTTACGACGAAAACAAAACGATGGATCATTGTCGAATCGGTAAGGTATTACGAGAACGGCGAGAGAAATGTCGATGTATAAATAGTCCACCAATAGCCGACAAGATTTTTTTTTTTAACTCAACAACAGGGCGTACTACTACGGGTTCAAAGCCGTAGAATCGTATCCACGTTCTTTCCGTGGGAGGGGGGGAGAGGGGTGTGCGCTCGCACACCCTGAATCTTCAATAATTGGCCTAGGCGTCACTGATACATGGCCTTCAGTTTTCCAATATTTAATATTGTGCATGCACCGTGACTAAAACTTGTAAATGTTGGCCTGTCGGTGGTAAAAAATTGGCCTTTTTAATTGCTCGCACACCCTTCAAAACAGAAAAACCGAAATGGCGGCCCTGCGTTGCGATAAGACGAATCGGTGGCGGTAACGGATTCGCGTACGCGCACACGAATGTCGCGGGACACGGATCCCCGGGGGACGAACGAGTTACGACGACCTTGACCGATGGTGGTGGTGGTGGCCGTGCACAAGTACTGCGCAGTTGTGAAACACTCGGAAACCGCCCCGCGCGAAAACGGGGTTAGCGCGGCGTCGGGTAAACAACAACAACAACAACAACAACAATAATAAAAACAGCGCCGTCGGACGTTATAGCAGACGCAGCGGTTAGCGATCCCCCTCTCTTCCCACCCGCGCGCGATCGCGGCCCATCCCCACCGGGCACGGCTCGTCCGCACGACCTTTTTATACAACGCGCCGGCGGCCCGGACGGATATTCGTGTGTTACTTCTAACCGGGCAATCGATTATTGCGGCCAGAATCGTGCGCTCCCGACGTCGTGCCACCGTCACCAGCAGTCGCTCTCTCGTTCTCCGCGCAACGCAACGCACGCCCGTCAGTGCCGGTAGCCCGTCGAAATCATAATAATAGTAACAATAGTAATAACACTGATATTAATACTATTGCACGCTAGTATCGCGAATTCGCGTTCGCAACCAGTGCGTCGTCGCATACGAGACTACGCTCGGCCCCTTACGTTCTGCGCCGCCGCGTCCGCAACGTTGCGCAGTAGCGACACTCGCGTTCCCAGACGGGCCACCAGTCGTTAGCTGTTACGTGAGCTTTATTTATTTTTTCACGTTCCGTTTCGATCATTTTTTTTTTTTTTTTTTTTTCACCGTTTTCCCGCCGTTTCGTCCCACGTCCGCAGCGATACGTCGTCCGCGTATCCGGTTCGCGCCTTTCGTCCCTGTCGACGATGCATTTGTACTTCTGCAGCCGCCTGAAATCCGTCGACGTCAATCTCGTTTCACGAGTTCTGCAGCTCAAGGGCTGAACAACGCGCACAGGTATTATCGCACAGCTACGTGACACCGTCGTTCCGGTTTCACCGCTGCTCCTTCACCGCCACCACCTCGTCCTCCTCCTCCTTGGTCCGAGAACGGATTGAGGCCTTCGCCCAGCGCCACCGCTCTTCCTCCTGTCGCTAAACGTTTCGCCTGCTCACGTCCGCAGCACTCCGCAGATCACGGGTCTCTTCCTGAACGCTGTGCAACGCCTGTCATTCGTTCGCCAATCGGTCCCAACCGCGGTCAAAGTGGACGCGACAAATTTCTCGTGCACCATCACACTGGCCAACAAAGTGGACTACGTCGTCCGAAGAAGACCCATTGGTGGCATGCGGCCGGACCTGCAGAAGCTCATCTATCATACGTCATCTGATCACTTCTCAGAACTCAACGTTTTTGCTGTGCTCTAGTGTACCGCGCCGCTAGCAGTATAGAATAGTTACAATTGGTGCGAGTCCTGTGTACTAGCGTGACCGTTAACAGTGGTCAGTACCACAGTCGTCATCGCCGTCATGGCGCCCACCATCCTGATGCGGCCGACCAAGAAGGATTGGCAACGTCAATCACAGTCCGAATCCGAAGATGATGACATGGTTGGAAGGAAAGAATTGATGCCACTTGTTATGTCTCAAGGTGAATAACACATGTTTACCCTATGGATAACCTATGTAGAAAATCCGTTCAAAGTATTTTCACGCCAAACAATATGAAGTACAATACAACATAGTGCGCTATGGTAGTGGTCTCTAAAATATCTAATTCTTATTTTTAAAATAGGTTCATATTTCCATCAGCAATTATGTGATATTTCAAACATAACTCGTGGGTGTCTAAAATAATGTTATGTTGATAAAATAAGAATCTTCTAAATGTGGCTTGAATCCAATTGTAATGTTTATGTATTGTACCAACTTGTGAAAACATTCATAAACCTTTTTCAATATTAGGTACACCAATAAATCATTTGCTATTGTTTACACCTAATAATACTTATTGTACCATATAATATTAATTAGATTTATAATATACATCAATACTCGTGTTAAAAGTGTCCATACATCTATTAAGTTTTTATCGATCAATAATTTCTTCTAATCCTTGTTTTGCATTCAAAACTGAACTAAATTATTTTACTCAATTATTAAATAAAACAACTTATCTCTACTAAATCGTACAACTTGAACATTTTAATTTAAGAATAATTTAAACAAAAAGTTAATTTTTTAATTTTCTTTTAATTTTAAATTTGAAAAATGTAATTCTACTTAGTAAAATTATATTTTTACCATTGAATAAATATTCCAATGACAAAAATAAAATAACGACCACAGGATCATTATTTAATGAATATTCAAAAACAACATATGGGTTTGAATGTAAAACGCCTGGGTAAATTCAATTTACTTAGGTAGTATGAAAAATTATTATAATCAACTAATTTGACTAAAACCAACGTATACTTTTAACTAAGTACTTACAACTTTTTTTAATATCTAATGTATACAGTCTTGTAATAATTGAAACAATTTTCATTTGTCTGTAATATGTTTAAAGATAGTTAGATACATAAATAGTTCTTTATGAAAAAATGTAGTTATTAAAATAATGCAAAATAAAGTTCATTATTTTCATAGAAAGTTTTAAAAACTAACGGTACCTAATGGACTACATGAGCTATTTAATGGGTTAACCAGCCAAAAAATCTATTTACAAGTAATGTGCTGAACATTGGCCAATAACTTATTGAAAATACCTAGCCAAATGTTTGTTGTAGGCACCTTTAACTCTTGCTAGTCTTATATGAATATCTGTCATAGTGCATTTTTTTTTTTTATTATTTATATATTACTGAGTTTTAATATTTGTATGTTAAATTTTTCAGTTGGTCAACATTTTGTACCATTGGTTATAACAATGGTTGGTTTGCCAGCACGTGGCAAAACCATTCTTGCATATAAAATCCAGCAATACCTTAACTGGACAAATCATAAAGCTAAAGGTATGTATGAAGCTCATAAGAAAAATATTATCCATATTGCCAAATAGTTTTTGGTTGTATATACATTTGATATCCTATTGAACATAAAAAGTATAAAAAGTGTTGAATACAATATAATTTTATTATATTTATAGTAATGTTACACATTTAAAACCGATTTAAATAATACTTTTGTTTTTAAGAAATATGATAAATTTGAGTTGTAATAGTTCCAGGAATATTAATGAATTAGAATTTTTAGCCAAAATAGTTTGATTATAGAACACAAACCAAATAACTAACAACTATTTATGTTTTTATGTTCTTTTTATGCTTCTACTAATTTTCTGGTGTATTTAATTTTAAAGCCTTGTTAATATCTATTTTTAAAATATAATCAATACTAATTAATCAAAGTCAATTCACATTTTTAAGTTCAGAATAAATGTAATTTAATAAACCATATACTTTTTATATTTTAATTTCCTTAGTATATTACTTCTAATTTATGATAAAAATTAGTATTTTTTGTGACATTTATAAATTTTTTTAAAAAATGTTTTCCTATATTAACATTAAATAATAATCTTGCTTTATTTATAGTGTTTTCTGTGAGCTCGTATAGACGTAAACATATTGAATCTTATAGTAGTCATGACCTTTTCCGTAAGGAGAACAGTGAAGCAGCTGAAATTCGTCAATTAAGTGCTCAAGAGGCACAAGATGATGCTACTAAGTGGTTACAAGATGGTGGAGATGTAGCTGTAAGTATTGAATTAGAAATTTAAAAACAGTACTGTTATCTAGTACATCTAATTGTTAACATATTGTAGATATTGGATGGGACCCATATAACACAAGCTCGTCGCCAAACTGTATACGATCATTTTGCTAAAGTCATGGGTTATAAGGTACTATTTATTGAGTGCGTTTGTGAAGATGAAATGCTCATAGAACGTAATGTCAAAGAAGTGCTACAATTCAGTAAGGACTATAGAAATATGTCTAGTGAGAAAGCTCTAGATGATTTTCATCACAAGATTGAACATTACATGGAACAATATGAACCAATGAAACCAAAAACAGATGGTTACAGCTATATAAAGTTTTTAAATGCAGGTAATAATATATTCATAAATATACAATATAATTTCCTCATTATTAACGTTTATTTTATTTAGGAGAATCACTTACTGTTTGTCGTTTGAACTCTCCAATGCAAAGTGAAGTGCTGGCTTTTGTTTCAAATGTCAAACCATTATCAAAAACATTTTATTTTTCAAGAGTAAGTTTATTGTTTTATTATTATATATTTTTACTATTGTCAATTATCTATATTTAATTAAATTTATATTTACGGTAAAATTTAATAACTTTTAGCATGGCGAGAGTGAAAACAATGTACTGGGTCGTATTGGAGGTGATGCAGATTTGTCTGTCCGTGGCCGTACTTATGCTGCTGCATTGGCACGCTATTTCAATAATGAAGAACGTTTAGAAGGCTTACGTGTGTGGACAAGTGAATTAAAGCGCACTCATCAGACAGCTCAAGGTATTAAAGCACTTGTAGAACCTGTGCCTGCTCTCAATGAGTTATATGCTGTAAGTACACTTTTCATTCAAGTATTTTATTAATAATCTAATGATTAATTTTTTTTTCAGGGTGTATGTGAAGGATTGAGCTATGAAGAAATGCAAAGCAAATTTCCACAAGAGTTTGCTTGGCGTGACCAAGACAAGTTACAGTATAGATATCCATGGGGAGAGTCTTATATTGATATTATGACAAGATTGAAACCAGTATTGTTGGAACTCGAAGGCGACATAGACAACTTATTGATAATTAGTCACCAAGCTGTTTTAAGATGTTTACTTGGATATTTCTTGAACAAGAAACATGGTAATTTAACTAAAACTAAACTGCATTTATCAGAAAATTTTTTTTATTCAATTAATTATTTATCTTGCAGAAGAATTACCATACATTAATGTGCCTTTGCATACCATCATTAAGTTGACTATTAGTGGATACAAGTGCAAAATGGAAGTGATTAAATTGAACATAGAATGTGTTGATACTTACCGCAAGCAACCTAAGGTAATAACTGAGACATTTAATAAAATTTTACTTTCATTTTTTACTTAGAGAAAATCATCAATAATATTTATATATTAATCTTATTCTTTGAAATAATATTATTTTAACAATTCAAATTTATTACAGAACTGCTCTATTAGCCGTTCAGTTGATGATGCTTTACTCACAGTGCCAGCTCATTTCGAAAATTTGTCTTTGTGGAATCATTCACCTATCGTTCAACTTTGAACATAGTCCAATAATAATATACGATGAAATATATTTATACGATTTATATGTTTGCATAGATGTTAATTCATATACAGTATCCCAATAACCTTAGAATCTTTATTTTAATTTCATAACGGCATTTAAAATGGTTTAATAGTATTGAAGATGTAATGTTTAGTTTCAAGCCTAGGGTTTTTACATTAACACTATTGTGATAAGAATAATTGGAATTAATATTAATAATTTAATTATTATTGACTTTCATTGTTTTTTTTTTTTTTTTTTTTTTGCATTAACAGACCATGTTAGGTGACTAATAATAATAGAAATTTTTCAATAATTTGTTAAGCATAGATCTATTTGGATAAATACAAGTTAGAATAATATTTATTAAATGTAAGTATTATTAATAACATGAAGAGTTATGGATTTATGTAGCTAGTTCTTTACATCTATCATATTGTTAACTTACCTTATATTTAACTCTATTAACTGATTTCTATACAAGTTCTATAGTACATAAATTATATACTTTGATTATTGTAATAACACAAATAAATATTCTCACTATTAAGTGAATTACTGTGTTGATCTGTAATATGTTTATAACATTTCATGATCGCACAAATACGATACTATTGTTCTGTTAAATATGAACAAGTTCCTAAAAAAAAATATGTACATCAATCAAAAATATACTATATCCCATAGATTGTTTTTGAATGATAGTACCTAATTATTATTATTTATTTTTTTTTTTTTTTGTGACAACTATTCTTCCATTTTAATTATTGATAGTTATTAGACTATAAAATATTTTTGTACTGTAGTTATGTTTGATTTATTACTTTTTTACTTTTAATTTTTATTCATTGTTTAAATAATAATAATATTGGATTTGGATATCAATTTACGTTTGCGTAGCATATTTTTGTAGTTTGATGAATCTTTTTTGTCTGAATTTCACGATTAAGATAGTAAAATATTATGTGTTAAGATATAATAAGGTACAAATTTCCGTATAATTGTATTTGTCTCTTAATAAATATATTTAACCGGAATTTAATTATTTTAAATTATTGCACAATAGTCACAATATTTTCTTTTCCTGAGGTAACCAAGTAGTTTGATTTTTGTCATTCATTCAATCAAATATCCATGGGCATATTTACATGTTTATCGCATATAGGCCTGTGAAAAATTGCCGCTCTAAATAATTAAAATAATATACCACATTAAGTGAATTACCATTTAATAAAGTATAATAAGTATACAAAACAAATTTTATTTAAATGCTAAAAATAATTTTTAAGATTTAAACCATTATCAATTATTAATAACAAAACAAATTCTTCAAAATTGCTATTTTAGGCACTTACCTATAGTGCCTACTAGAAATATGCCACTCCAAATATCAAGATGTGTTCAGTGGTATACAAATAAAAAAGTATATTTTATTAATAACAGTTGTTGCATTTCAATAAATAATTAGTTAAATCATATTATACAATAATGAAATTTAAGGTTTAAGATTTCAATTAATTCTTATATTAATTATTTTTATGATATTCAATTTTTATTTAAGTTTGTCAAAAACTTTACAATAATTAATATATGACTCATTAAAATACACTATTTTATTGTTATAAGTACTGATAGAGCTATGTTATTATGATGACTTAAAATATAAATTTTTACATATAACACGCATCTACTCTACTAGATTAAGATATTCACCATAATATCTCATGTTCAGCACAGAAGCAACATAGCCACTTGTTTACAAAGTAGACAAACATTTTAATAGACTAGATATTTTAAAATAATAATTGGTTTAAAATATTAGTTTTTTACAATAATTACAAAAAATAAGGGCAGAAACACAACATTTAACTATAAAAAAGTAGGAAAAACAAAAATATTATCACAATCAAACAAACATATTAGTTATTTAAAAGGGCACAATGTGCTCGTAAAAATACATTACCATCAGTGGCGATCAAATGATTTTTTCAAGGGGGGGGGGGGGTAGCTGATTTTTTAACAAAATTATATATAAAAATCTTTATTTTTAAACATGGAAATTATATTATATTAATGATATTATTAATTATTATTAATGATATTTATATTATTAAATCTATTTTTCTGTTTATTTTTGCCAATTCGTTGAGTACTTCGTCTACAGTTATACTGACAACCTCACGATGAACAACCATAGTGGTTAAACCATTGAGACGACTCTAAAATAATATAATTACACAATTCATATAATAATATAATACAGTGGTTCAATCTTTTTAGGACCGCGACCCAAATTTTCTTCCAAAAATCTATCGCGACCCCATAGTTTTACATTCACAGAATCAATAAAAATAATTTCAAAAAACAAATTTTTTCTATTTTATTATTTATTCACTACTTTATAATAATAATAATATAATACTTAATTAATAATTAGACGTATGTGATAAATGTGCTTGTTTCTTTAAATCTATATAATTAAAAAAACTTGCGACCCCCCAAAAATTGACTCGCGGCCCACAGTTTGAGAAACGCTGATATAATATATTATGTTAAGCATTAAGTACTAAATTTTAATTCCATACATTCTTATAATTTAACTATAAAGGAAATGAAAAAAATCTAAAAAGTTTATTTCAATTAATATTTTAGTGTTTTATGTTTGAACTGTTAATTTTATTCAAGCCTAGAGACTGTATAATAATTAATAAGTACAGTATATTTATTTTTTTAAATAGAAAATAGATGAATACCTATATTATATTATGTATAATATGAATGAATTATAAATATTTAAAAAAAGGTCATGGGGGGATCTATCCCCCCCCCCCCCCGTTTGACTGCCACTGATTACCATAAACCAGAAAACACTGTAAATGTAGAACACAAGTACAAGGACCAATACCAATACAATTTCTGGTGTTAAAAATTGAAATGAAACTCAACGAAAAAAGAGAAATAGGTTTTATACATGTAGATTGAATAAAACATTAAGAAAACAATTGTTTTGTGAATTATAATGTATTTTGTTAAAGACACAACTTTGATTTCAGATTACATTCTTAAATCTTACTTTTATGTCACAATCGTTATAACTTGTAATGCTCTTAAGTAAAACCGTTCAAAATAAAAATAAATATTAATTTTAATAATGTATTAACCCCAAGTCCTAAAATATATCCAATCACAATTTCCTTTAAAATCTGAATAGCCTCTTTTTACCTTATCAGTACCTATTTTTTTCTATATACTATAATCATTATTATTTTACTTTTTAATTGTTTAAAAAGTACAGTATTTACATGTATCATTATTCCAATATTTTACGCATTATGATTGTATAATTGCTAAATAAAAACTGTAAATTATCGAAATAATAATATTTTAACTATGAAAAAAAAAATGTAATATAGATAAGTATAAATATTTGTATTATTGTATAATTTACGAAGCAATATTTTTTAAATAATATAAAATATAAAAGGAAAAAAACTAACCACAAATATTAAATAAAAAATATGTAAGTTACCTCCGAAAACAATTATGGTGTATGTGTCTAAACGTTTTCGTTAGTGAATTTGTTTTATACGTCAAACCTTTGCATGTGTACGACAATTTTCAAAAGCAGCAAAAATAAATAGCATTTTTAAGTAAACGTTACGAACACTGAATTAGATTAATAATCATAATTATTGACAGGATAGTTAAACATTTTATCGAATATTCAATTATTTTTAAAATCAAGAAATTTTTGTGGTTATTGTACTATAATTATATTAAGAAAACTTGAAAATTCATTGGTAAAATCACAAATAATTTTTTCATAAATGTTCACATTTTCTATATTTTTTTTTTTTTTAGTTTTGAGAATTATTCAAATATATTTGTCTAAATATATAATATTAATGACAAAGATAACAATGTTTCATTTGAAATTAAAATTATTAATACATGCGTACCTATACAATATTAGGGGGGGGGTCCGGGTTCAAACCCACCCCAGGGCCAAAAAAAATAAAGAAAATTGTTTTATTATTGATGACATGTAATATATTCGTAGTTTCATTATTACGCTTTGAATTTAAAATATACAACTATACAAATATTATGATAACTAAAAAATTATATTGGTAAGTGTTTGAAAAGTTAACTATGCTGCTTTTATATTCCAATAGCTATTAATTTACTGTAATGTAAAAGTAAACTGCAAATTGGTAAAAAAGTTGTATAAAATTATATCTATTTATAGCAGTTATTTATCTTATTTATTTGTGTAACGAAAAATAAAAGATAACGATTATTTTTGTTAACCCCTCCCCCACACAGAGCAAGATTGAATGTACGCCACTGACTGTAAAAGTACGCTGTTTAAGTACAGTACATTTCAAAGTTATTTTTATTATATTACGTAATAAATAATTGTTTATTCATTTATTATATTAGTTAAATTTAAATTTTTATTTTTGTGAAAAAATTATAAATTAACTGTAGATAAAGTATTCGTACATTTGTCCGCATTAGGTACTTAAGTATTACCACACTGTTAAAAATTAGTTTTTATTTTACTATTTTATATTATTTTAGTGTTCTGTTATTTTTAACATTTTTATTTATTTGAATATATATAATTTCACTTCAAAACGATTAGTATATAATGTATACATTATTAATCCTAACTATCCCGGCTAAGTATATGAAATCGATAAATTGTTGTTTTAATTTTTAAATGTAACCATATTCTATACATCTATGCGAATATGGAGCACTTACTGTCACTAAAATAAGATTCAATAAGGGATATACGATAAAATATTTTGAGATATCATTAAGTTGAAATGTTAAACCATGTAGGTATCTCACTGTTTCTTTCAAGATGTATAGATATACCTAGTTTAGCCAATTCAAAAGCAAATGCATACACTGGCTAATCAATAGGGGTAAATTAGTTTTAGTATTAGGTAAGTACTTCTTTTTTCCTTTTTTTCCAATAAGTACAGTAGGTACAGGTGCACAGTAAACATTAGAAATTGTTCGATAAAAGTGCAT